GATGAGCCTCAGAATAATCTAGGAGAGGTAAGAATATTGGATATAGGTGAGCTAGAAATAGAACCATTGTCTTGGCCTGTAATGCTCTCTCTTGCACAGTTAAGGAAAATAGAGAAATATTTCTTGATATTCAGGTTTCTGTTTTCTTCCTTCCTTTCTTTCTTCCTTTACTTCTTTCTTCCTTTATTTTTTTCTGTCTTGGCATGTGTATGATTATTTTTACTGAATGTATATCTGTGCACTGGGTATGGCTGGTATCCATAGGAGCAAGAAGGGGGAATTGTATTCCCCTGGAAATTGAATTACAGACTGGTTGTAAACTGCCATGTATGTGCTGGAAACAGAACTTGTGTTCTCTACAAGAGCAATCATCCCTCTTAAACACTGAGCCATGTTTCCAGCATGCAGGTGGATGATTTCAGAAGCAGATCTGACTGGTAGAAGATATTGATCAATAACAGGATAGAACTCTGTCTGAAAGAGACAAGTGTGTTTGGCATATCTGAGTTAGGGATATGGAATGCTAACTTTCTCCTTATGAGACAATTATTAAAAATCCCCAGGATCTATGGTCAATCACCAAAAGGATGCTTCCCTAAGAGTACAATGAAGTTTGATGACAGACAGATGCTAAATTTGGTTGCAATCAGTGATTCTCGGTGCAGAGAGAGCCCTGTGTTAGACGCAGGATCTTTTGAAGGATAAAAAGCAAAGGCTTGGTATTTGCCTTTGGAATAATGATAGCAGTGTGCCAGAACACACATGATTTTCTGTCCAGAGCATGCCATTTGTTTTCATTTGGTAAAAGAGACACCTCCCCAAGCTACTGATGGCCAACATATTTTTATTATTTTTAATTATTTGCTTTTATTTAAATTAGAAACAAGCCTGCTTCACATGTCAATCCCAGCTCCCTCTCCCTCCCCTCCTGCCCAGCCCCCACCAGTCCCCCACTCCATGCTCCCTCTACTCCCCAAGGATGGTGAGGCCCTCAATGGGGGATCTCCAATGTTAGTCATATCATCCAGGGCAAAACCTATGTGTCCAGGCTGAGAGAGCATCCTTCCACTTGGAATGGGCTCCCAAAGCCCGTTTGAACACCAGGGATAAATACTGATCTACTATCAGAGGCCCCATAGATTGTCGAGGCCTCCTCACAGAAACAGATGATGATCAAGAATAACATCTTTGAAAAACAGCTGTCCCTGCTCCACACACACTTGAGAAGCCTCCAGGGTAAAGATATGGATATGTGGTCATACACAGATTGTCTGTCACCCATGGCCTGTGAGGCAGATGTACACTCTGTGTTTCCTGTGTCTCTTTCCCACACATCGTGAATGAATGTTCTCAAGGAGATAAATTAGCCTCAAATATGGACAAGGCCCTGACACTGGGACAGGACAGCTTTCCAGGTCAGCAACATCTGTTACTACCGGCCTGTGGGAAAGAATTTGCTAGGACATGGAATCATCAGGAGCAGCTATGCCCCTGCCCTTCCGATTGCAGACCCTGACTGTCCTGTGACATCTCATGAGCCCATCAGAACACTTGGGTAACTGCCTGAGCACCAGTGCAGCTGGGTTCTCCAGGCTGAATATCAGAATGAGATGCCCAGGTGATTAGCGGAAGCCCAGGGACGGTGTGGAATCACCTGGAGCTAGAGTTAGATGACCTTGTGAAGTCTCTTCACATAGGTGCTGGGAACTGCACTTGGGGCTCCTGGAAGATCAGCAGGTACTATTAAATATTGAGTAATTTCCCCAGCCCGCCTTTCAGATTTCCTTATTGGTGCCTGTGTGATTCAAGTCAACCACTGAATTGACCTTCTAGATACCTGTTTCCCTTCCAGTCCATTTCAGCTAAGGCTTTGGGAGAACAGAATGCCCCAGCTGTTATGGGGTGTTTGAGTGCCTGGAAAAGGCTCAGGCACATGTGGATGAATGAATGAATGAATGAATGAATGAATGAATGAATGAACGAATGAATGAGTGAACAATTACATGAGGACACTAACTTTGAAGGAATCTCGAATTGTTACATAACAAAATAGGCTAACACCACAGTGTGACTTTTAATATACAATTTTGTATTTTATATATGTGGAAAGAGAGAGAGAATATTGTGTACTTATTCATGCATACATCAGTATATGGGTTAGAAAATGCTAATGTGCCAATAAAGAATCCTGCGTTTGTGAAAGAAATATTACTAAAGCTTAAACCGAGCCCTGTAGGCATCTGGTTTGTGGACCTGTAACAGTGGCCACACCCTTTTGGGTGTGGCCTCAGACAGAAGGAAGTGGAAACAGAGGAGATTGAGGTGTGGCTTTCCTTAAAGCATGCTGTCTGGCATGTCAGCAGATCTGGAAGGAAGAGCAGGGAAATATCCAGCGGTCCTTTGTATTTTTCTGTATAATTGTTCCATAATAAACGCCCATCTATCATTTATCTTTGGTCTAGTGATATAATCGTTTCCTCCCCTTCAATTTGCACCTGACATGTGCTTGGGTAAATCTGCTCGACTGCCTTGTGGCCTACTGTAAAGACCACGCTTTTTGCATTTTCATTGGTCACTGAGTTTGCCTCACAGTTCTTCAGCCTGTCCCAGGAAAAGCAAGCGCTTCCCTGCTCTCTTTGCCTGCCGTGGATTTGCAGGAGCTGGCTGTGGAAAGTAGCCCAAAGCTTTGAGTCGCAACAATTTGCCTGCCCGACTGCAAAGTACCCTATGAGCCAACAATTACCAAGATCTCCGAATTTCAGGAATCTACTTAAGGTAAATTGACTACCAAGTAACAATGGCAGATAACAATTCAATATAGGAAGTGAAAATCTTTGGTTTCTTCTATGGATGGGATTTCACAAGAGGCTTGAGACCTACCTGGAATATATTTAGTATTCATGGTGGCTATTAGATTTGTCGTCCATATAATATCCTTAACAAAATGATTTGATAATAGAGCAAAGAGTGAAGAAGTTATACGAATCATACAGACTTTACAGACCAATAATGAGAGCTTAGAAAAAGGCTTCAGAACACTGAAAATGGCAATGGTGATTCGACAAACAGAATACAAAATATGGAACAAAAAACTGACCAGCTAACAGAAAAAAAATGTTCCATGACTGATGATTCGACAAATAAAATGCAAAAAAAATGGAACATAAGATTGAAATACTAACAGAAAAATTTGTTCCATGTCAGAGGCTAATAACAAGCGAGCAGAACATTGCTTTTAGAAGGCAATCTCCATGTCATCCAGATAATCTCTAAGGCTGAGAGTATTAAATCTCTAGAATCATATATAAATGAAAAGAACAAGAATCTGACTTATGTAATGAAATCCTTAGAAGTTTATACATTTCAGGAAATTCAAATACTCCAAGAAACAATGGTGTATACATTACAGGCCATAGAAAACCATAATAGCAATACACCAGGAGCTGAGGTACAAATAAAATAAATGAAAGGGATTTAATATTACCAGTACCTTTAGAGTCAAAGATGACTTACCAAAGGTTGTAACATCATCCCCTGTGGTCTATCCAGTTACTGTTACTGAAAAGCCACTGAGACCTTTCCCTCTAAGACCTGGAGCAGCACCAGGATGCTGTTGTGGCCACTTCTGTTCAACAAATGAGAGAGATGACTCTCCCCATTACCAGCTACAGAACTAAAAGAAACAGGCCCTGAACCTCATCTAGACAGCAGAGTAGATCTGACAGGTGGTTGAAGCTGAGGGTGACACAGCCATGACATTAAGAATCAATAAATATATTTGACAAAGTGAACAGTTTTTAATGATGAAACCAGACAAACCGGGCAGAGAGGATTTAGGCCGGTACAGTAGACATACACATGGAAATCCCAGCCAACCCAATGCACAGTGGGGACACTGACAGCTTTCCCTCTAAAACCAGGATCAACAAAAGGATGCCGCTGTGGCCACTTCTGTTCACTTTTACCTAAGGAGTCCTATACAGACCAATTAGGCAAAACAAAGAAATGAAAGGTGTCCAATCTGCTGTAAAATGTGTCTGCAAGTGACATGAACTTATCTGTAGAAAATCCTAAGAATTCTACAGAAATTTCTGAAACTGGTGAGCAAACAAACCCACCTGAGAAGTACTTGTGTAAATGAATAATGACCACAAACAGTTTGATGTCCTGCTTTGTCACGTGCACAGAGAAAGAAACAGATGGGGTTGCACAGGACTGCAGAGAATGGACTGGATTGAAAATGATTTGGAGATAGCCAATGGTGATGGCCACAAGAAAATATGAATGTGTTCATGCCACTTATTTTCTCACTTCAATGTGGCCAAATGGGAAAACCCATGTATATCTGAAAAAATGTTAACAAGAAAATGAATCTTGTGTGATGTCACCCTGTGAATGCCAGTCTCAGGATAGAAAGAGTCCAGGTCAGACTTTTGCCATAGGTTTTTACATGTGTGCCTCAAACAAACTGTGGATCACAACTATTTAGTAAACAATTATGTGCACAGGGAAAGAGAGCAGTGCCTTTTCATGTCACTCTTCCTCACTTCACATGGATGACTGGTGTCTAGGCAACATTGGGGTTACATGAATCAGTTATAAATGGAATATATATGAGCATATGAGAGGAAGATTTTATCTCCACACAAACACTGCCTCATGTTAACAGGAGAGTCAAGCATCCAGAATTTTGGGGACACATGAAATTTGTTTCCATGGATTCTGAGAATTATCTATGTATCTGATCCACATCCTAAGCTCTGAAATCCTGCAATCCTGTTTCCTATATTGATTTCTTCTTTTCAGTTTAGGAAACCAAGTCTCTATTTATGTCCTGGCCTATCCTGGGATACACCTTTATCCCAAGATTACAGTTGTGAGTCGCCATGCTGGCTGTACCGGCATGGTGACCAATCATTTTCATCACATAACTTTTCTCATTGCTGTACCAGATCAATAATGAAATGCCCCAAATCTGCTGGAGGAAAAGAGGAGACAGGTCACTCATTCGTCACGGCCAGGCTGACTGGGAGACTGATCCTTGAGCTGACTGGGTTGAACACCTCACACTGATAATCTCCAGCATCTTCCCTCCTGACAGGATCTATGCTGAGTTGGCACTTTGTCGGGGACAATGTCATCCTCTCTGTGAGCTGCAGATTTCGGTTATTGAAGATCCAACAGATGGAGACTCCAGTATCACCTGAGAGGCAGGTGAAGACCACAGAGCTCTGTGCTGTAACTGTTGTGCTGGTGACTTGGATAAAGGGCTGTGTCACAGGCTCTGTGAAGCAAAAGAGGGGGTGGAAATGACAATAACACTTCAGAGATCTCAAACAGCCCCTCTGTAGTCAATGGACACTTAATCAACCCTCCAGGGTGGAGACTTAATGGCTATTGCAATAGACAGATTTCTTGTGGTTTGGATCTGTCACCCATGGCCTGTGTGGCCCTGATTTATTCTCTGTGTTTCCTGGTCTCTGTTTCCCTTCACCAGTGCACTCAGTGCATGATCATTGTCAGGGCCCTGAATTAAGCTTATATGTGAGCAATGGCCCGATCTTGGGATGGGGAGATGCCCAAATCTGCAGCATCATTTACTATTTGCCTGCAGAAGAGAATTCTCTAGGCTGGACCCCTAACGACAAGGAGCTCCTCGAGACCAGTCACCTCTGTCGCTCCTCTTGGGCAGCCTGGCCTTCCTCTGAAGTCTCCTAAGCCCATAAGAAGAGTTGGCTTAGTCCTGACACCTGTCCACTGAGATTCAGATGTAGAAGATACCCAGGTGACCTAGCTAACTGCAGCCGTCATGGCAGTACACAGTTGGTTCCACACTCTATGGTCTTGGACAGTCGGTTAAAGCCTTGTTCCAAGTCAGCTCTGACAGGAAGTCAAATTCTAGCCCTGGAGCCAAGCTCTCCATGGTCACCTGGAGTTGAGTCTGGATCCAGGGCTGCCTGATGCTCACCTCACCATGATGAAAACATAGTTTCCCTGATAGGCCATGGCTGACTTCCATGAGGTCTTGGTCAAGGATATGTTCATGGTGAGAGCCCCAAAATTCTGAGGACTGACATCCTTGGGCTTGGTTGCTGAGCACACAGCCTTCTCCATAGGTAGAGTCAGGTGAGGGGTTCTGGTCTATTTTAGTATGTCTACCCAATGTGTGTCCTGCACAAAATGCTTAAATCCCAGTGTGGAGACAGAATGTAGAAGGGAGGATCTCAATCTACAACAGTCAGTCCTGTGTGTGATAAGGGAAATCAGCCCCACCAGAGCCCAGAGGTCACAAAAAAATCACTTACTGTATATTCGGAGGTCCACATGTGTTTGTTGAGTTTTAACACGTGTGCTTATGGTTACTAGGGAGTAGAATCCAGTGTCGTCCTTGGTGGCATTGTGGAATAGCAGGGATCCATTGTGGTACACAGTCACTCTACCACTGTACGAAGCCGCAATCCAAATTTTATTATCAATTGTATCCTTCTGTGCAATTAAACGGCTGTTGAGAATGGCTACCTCTAAGTACCAGTGAAAGGCTACTAGGTTCTCAGGCATATTGTGAGCAAGTAGGAGAGCATTTTTCCCTTCAGCGACATTTGTTGGCATTAACTCAATAGAGAGCTGGCCATTGGGAGGAGGAAGTCTGCAGGCTAAAAGGAAGGGTAGAGAAAGAAAGACAAATTCATCAACACTGAGATCTTTGTCTTTGGTGAAAAGCTGGGGCCTGATTACTGAGAAGCTTATACCATCACTCAGCTGAGGTGGATGGGAATGTCTGACACACTCATAGGAAGAAAAAGGAACCCCATGACCCATGTGCACCTGACTGTGTCACTTCCTGTGTGGAGAGCTGTCTCCGCGTGTGCTTACACACTCGCTGTCCTCACATGCCTGCTCATGCTCAGAAAATGTGGAGGAGGGGTGCCTTCCCTCACTTCTTCCTCTACAGACCCCAGTCTTCCCATTCTGACCTCTTTGATATCTTATCTCTCGGTAGGCAGTCAACCCATACCTTCACTTTGAAATGATTTCCTAGTCTTCCTACCAGTCCACTAGAGCTGGGACTTTATTGGAAAAGATAGTTAGATCTTTGATACCTGGACAGGCTGAGATACATGTGGGTGGATGGAAGAAGGAATGTCCATGGATTTTCATGTCCAGGTGTTTATGAAATTCTCATATGTGGAGCTACTGTCACCAGTTACAACTCCAGCTAACATCATTACCTTATGCATATGTGGAGTGGTGTGTGTGTGTGTGTGTGTGTGTGTGTGTGTGTGTGTGTGTGTGTGTGTGTGCTGGTAACAGCACCTGGATTGAAGCCTTTCCTTCCTATCCCTCCAACTATGGAGCTTACATCCTGTCCCTGGGCTCCTCTCCCCTCTCACGCTCTCAGATAGTGTTGTTCTCTCCAGTGAAAGGAGCCACTACCAGGGGCTGCACTGTTTGCAGAGAAGTGCACAGTGGGCCTCCATAGGGGTGGCCATCTGTTCTGCCCTCCCGCTGTGGAGAACAGATTTTCCTCCATCACTTCCCACAATCACTACAGACTTCCAGTCTCTGAGCTCTGGGTCTCCACAGGAAGGAGCACTTCTGAGATTAACATGAACATTGTCAGGAATGGGGTCTAAGGACATTCTGTGTCCTTGCAACTCTTAGTCTTGCTTGGTAGCCTAGTCAGGTTCTCTATATATTTTTCAGTCCTGCACACCATGCAAAGATCAACAAGGCTGATGATTATCTCTGTGTCCTAGGACAACAACAGCTCACCCAAGGGCCACCCTATGCTATGTTCTCCCGACATATCTTTCATGACATGGAATCCTAGCAGAGCACCTAGTCTGCCTTCTGTCCTCAATGCTCTGATAAGTTGGAATTTACTCCCCACAGAAAGGTGACATTGATATCTATGAAATCTGGAAAGGGGCGAGCTGAGTGATGCCTGGGAAGGGAGAGAGACCCACTCCCAGTGGAGTCAGCAGTCAGGATGCATTTTCATGAAGCCCAGGAGTTGTGTGAGCTGATTTATGTGGGTGTGAAGCTGGCAATGGGCTGGCCGAGTAAGGCTTGGAAAGGGGAGAGACCCACTCTCAATGGAGTCACCAGTCAAGGGCATGGAAACCCAGGAGAGACTCATGAAGATATGAAGCAGGAGATGACCTGAGTCCTGGAGAGACATTGGTGACTCCATCAACCTAGAAAGGATTTCAGAGGGCCCCTCCATCTCCCTGTGATGGTTTAGCCATGCCATGGGTCTCTGCATGTTCTCCATGGGATGCGAATGACATCTGTCTAGGTGAAGTCCTCCTGGGTTGTGCCAGAAGGTAGAAGGTGGCAACATAGGATCCTCTGGCAGAGAAGTGTGCTTAGAAACACAGGAAGCAACCAGGATGTCTAAGAAGGCTGTAAGAGACCTCCAGGTCTACAAGGACATGGATGGAAGGTAGACTACAATTAATCCCATGACTCCTGGAAACAATTGTCTAGGTATTGATTTTTGTGTCTATCTACAGCCATCTAATGGTTACGCAAGGAACTGTCCCTCCTGTCTGGGAGCTGTCCAGATCAGCACCTCTGTTACTATTTACCTGCAAGAGAAAATTCCAGAGCAGGACCCCAAGTGGCAATCACTTTCAAAAAGGACTCTCTCCTGTGTTACTCGACTTGGGGATCCTGACTTTCCTGTGGGGTCTCATAATTCCATCAGAACAGTTAATTAGTTAGTTAGTTAGTTAGTTAGTTGACTAGGCACCTGACTGGCTATACTTTCCATGTGCTATCTCTGAGGAAGAAATCCAGGTGACCTAAGCTAACTATAGCTCTCTTGACAGGGCACTAGGTGATTCCACATATCAGGAAAGCCTTGTTCCCTGTCATCTTTCATAGGAAATCAAAACTACGCAGTAACTAAAAGCTCCCAAGTGTCATCTGGAGTCTAGTCAGAGACAGAGATTTGCAGCCAGGGATTCCTGGCACTCTCTGTGAGGATGCCATGACTTCATCAGCCAGGGCCTGCCTGACTCCCACAGTGTCTTTCTGGTTCATGTGCATGGTGAGGCCTCTAAGAGTCTTGGGTACAGCTGACATCCTGGGGCTGAGTTTACCAAGCACAGGTCCTCAACTCTACAAGTAAAGAGAGGTGAGGGTTTCTGATACAATACATTTTATCTACTCCTTTTGTCTCCTTTAGTACGAGTTCAAACCCGGAGTGGGTACACAATGAGGAGAGGGGAAGCAGGCACAGCCCAGGCCTGGGAGTTCAGTGTGTGAAGTAAGATAAGCCACACCCAGCAGCTGGAGATCATAGAGAATCACTTACTGTACACATGTAATTGGACATATGCTTTTTCAGTTTTGAAATCTCTGTTTAATGTTTGCAGCACGTAGACTCCTGCATCTGTCTGCATGACATCCTGGAGCAGAAGGGATCCATTGGTGTACACCACTGCTCTTTCACTGTAGGCAGGCCCATGGGTGATGTAATTTGTGACTCTGCTGAATTCTGCAATTTTAAATTTCTGGTTGTTATGCCCTAATTTGTACCAGGCAAAGGCTCGCAGATCTTCTGGCAGATTGTGAACAAGGAAAAGAACGCTGTCCCCTTTAACAGCATTCTGTGGCACTGGCTCTATCATGAGTTGGACAGAAGTGAGAGAGTTGCAGCACACAGAAAGGGAGGCTGAAAGACAAAAGAAAAACAGTTATCACAAGGATCGTGTGCTTGGTGGAAAGATAGCAACCTTCACCCTAAACAGATGGATCCATCACTCAGCCTAGAGATGAAGGTGTGGGTGTTTGTAACCCACTTGGTGAATGTCAACAACATGACCTTCATTTCCTCGGTGCCCCTGAATATATAATTTCCTCTACATGGAACTCTCTCCCCGGGTGTCTGTACAGCTTCCACTCACTTCCCTCAGTCAAGCACTGCACACTGAGGTTGAGATTATGCCTCCTCTGAACTTGTTCTCCACAGACCCCACATCCTCATTCTGTAACTTTTCTCTCAATTTGCTTTGTGGCTCCAGTCAACCCCTGGTTGACTACATGTTCAAATTCTACATGTTCTTGCAACATTGTCTTGAATCACACAAGTCTAGGACTGGATAAGGGCCAGAAGTCTGATATTCTTGGCAAGCTCAGGTGTTAGAACAGACATACATTCTAAGATGGCTGGTTTTATGTCGTTGTCACACAAGCTACATCAATTTGAAAGAGGAGGACTCAATTAAAAATGCTACCACCATGTTGGTCTGTGGGCAAATCTATACTACAATGTTTTAAATTGGTGATTGATGTTGGAGGATCCAGCACACTGAAAACATTTCTGCTCCTATCCTAAGGGTTAGGTTGACATAAGAGACAAGACTGAGCAAGCAATGAAGAACAAACTAATAAGCATCACTCCTCCACTGTCTCTGCACCAGTTCCTAGAATTTTTTATGAAACTCATGTTTGGAGAAAATAAATGTCCCAGTTTGACATGGACAGCCAAAAACCACTGCTCCCATTCAGTACTAAGAGACATTAATAGTCTAGTTCTGGCAATTTGTCCCCAAGTATTTGAGCTTAGGAGAGTGGATTGTGGCCAAGGTTTACTAGTGATTGACTCTCTGTTAAGATGACATGGTTTCCATTCTAAGCAAGGTAACCCAATCACAAAAAGACAAACATGATAAGTACTCACTCATATGTGGATTTTAGACATAGAGTAAAGGATTACCAGCCTACAATCCACAAAGCCAGAGAAGCTAATAAACAAGGAGGACCCTAAGAGAGACATACATGGTCCCCTGGAGAAGGGGGAAGGGTCAAGACCCCCTGAGCAAATTGGGAGCATGGGGGGAAGGGAGCAAAAGAAAGGAGAAAGAGAAGGGGAGAATAGGAGGGGAGA